TCTCTGTCTAGAGGTATCATTGTCATATTTGAGATACTCTCAAACAAACCTACTTTCATTGTTAGCAAATTAAAAATCCCTGTTTTGGTTATTCTTCTCTCATTTCTGGAATACCTACACCCAGAATTAGGGAAAGACAGGTTTATTTAGCTCACAGTCTTCAGTGAGCTTCATAGTCCATAATCCACTGACCCCAAGGCAGAACAGCACACTGCAGAGGGAACATTTCATGGTGGAAAACAGCAAAACAGCAAGAACAAAAAGGGAGGAGCAGCAGCGGAGAGCAAGCCTCTCTCCCTTCCTTACGTTGTACTCAGGCTAACTACCCCAGTGTAGGTGTAGCACTCACACCCATAATCCCAGCACTGGATCATGAATTAATTACAAAATCTAGAAGCCCACCCCATGATGGTATGAGGCTTTGGGGGGACACCTAGAAACAAACCATAACAGTCCCATATTGCTACCATTTCCTCACTTGCTTTCCAAATTCTACATTACAGAGTGGTCTACAAAATGCTGTGCTTAGTTTTAGGGACTCTTAGATAGAACCTCTGCTCTTTCAAATACTACACTCTAACAAACTTCAAACTTAGTGCTGTAAGGAATCCCAATGAAACTACTATGAAATGCTAATACAGATGATAAATAAGTGCTAGTTAAGGAAGGCATAAGCAAAGCACCTATTTTTATAATTTTGCAATTGGTATTTGCTTAACCTCAAAACCAGAAGAGCTAGATAATCATTATTTTTTTATTTGGAACATTCTAATGAAAGATATTTCTACTTCTCTTAAGTATTTTTATTCATGAAGTCTTCATTGAATATTTATCATACATTCATCCATTAACTAATGACTTGAGGTGAAAAAAAAAAGGATGGTGATTCAATTCTTAATGCTGGGAGGAACTCTACAAATTACTAATCTCATTCTCTATCCAATTACTGCCTTTTCCCCACTCTATTTCTGTATTGCTATTTCCAATCTCTACCTGAATTTACCTTTTCTATTATGTGAAGCTGGCAAAGATTTAAGATAGTTCCAAGTTTTAGGAAGCTTTTACATTATCGTGCACAGTCTATAACCTCCCCTGACAGGAATTATCTACAAAGTCGTTTGTTACCCCAAGGTCAGAGAAAGATGTTCTGAAGTCTGGGCTTTTGAGAATTGCCAAAAGAATGAAAAGAATACTTGAAAACCACACATAAATTATGCCACAGCACACCCCCTAAATAGGTGCATCATTTGTGGCATACAGCTAAGTGTTTATGACTTCCTTGTGAAGGATGAGGGCACACAGCTACAAGATCATTCTCTCTGCAGCCACTTCCTCTGCCTGTAGCCACATTACCACTTGCCTTTAACTCTTGCTTCACCACTAGCAACTGTGTACACAGCCAAGCCATGTAAATATCCGTGAAAAGCTGTATCTCTTCCCAGTAAGCAGCTGCCACAGTCATACGTTCTCATGATGTACTGGGGACTACGACATTACAATGTTTCCATTGGAATGAAGTTTTAGAAATGAGGATTGTGTTTGAATTGTTTTCAATGCCAGGCCCTACTAACACAGAGTAAATATTATTACTACACCATAATGCATATTCGGGGAAGAGTGACATGCCCTGTTTCATGAGTTTCAATTCAGCCTTTCAAGGAAACAGGGATTAATCATTGCATTGGAAAATGGCTCCAGTACTGATGTATTTAAATCAAGAAAACTGAGGGCAAACACCATCCTTACACAGCTCAAGAAGTTCCACAGAGTATCCTTTTAAAGGGTCGACACGATTGTGCTCAGTCAAGGCACATCACTTGATAAACACCAAGAAAGGCCACTGTGGCGATTCTTGCATTGTCTCAAAGGGCAAAGTCCCAGTTACAAAACGAAGGCCTATGTAAAAATACAAGCATAAATAAAATGGAAGAGCTCAATGAGAGAGAGAGAGAGAGAGAGAGAGAGAGAGAGAGAGAGAGAGAGAGAGAGAGAGAGAGAGAGA